GGTGTGGGTGTGGGTGTGGGTGTGGGTGTGGGTGTGGGTGTGGGTGTGGGTGTGGGTGTGGGTGGGTGTGTGTGTGTGTGCGTGTGTTTCTGTGTGTGTTTCTCTGTCTGTGTGTGTGTGTGTCTGCGTGTATGTGTCTGTGTGTGTGTGTCTGTGGGTGTGTGTGTGTGTGCGTCTGTATGTCTGTGTGAATCTGTGAATGTGTGTCTTTGTTTGTGTCTGTGTGTCTGTGTCCGTGTGTCTGTGTGTCTGTGTGTCTGTGTGTCTGTGTCTCTGTGTCTCTGTGTCTCTGTGTCTCCGTGTCTGTGTCTGTGTGTCTGTGTGTCTGTGTGTGTGTCTCTGTGTCTGTGTGTTGTGTCTATGTGTCTTTGTGTCTGTGTGCCTGTGTGGCGTGTCCCTGTGTCTCTGTATCTCTGTGTCTGTGTGTGGTTGAGACGTGGGAGTGGGTCACAATAATAGAGGAACCCCCCAATAATGGTGGGTGTTCCTGATCATTTCTCTGCATTAATATTCAAAGCGTATTTTGTACAAAACACACACACACACACACACACACACTTTCAAATAGCCGCACAAAGGGACCATCGCTAAAGCAAAATGCGCCCCACTGAGCGCTTCAAGTGCTGCCAAAAGCAAACACGGCATTGGTTGCAAGACACATGGCTGTATGAAGCGTGCGAAAACAAACTCTGCCTCAACTCCGGGAAATGACTGGCACCTTTTTGACGGAAGGCAGTTTTAATGCTAATTGCTTTGCTGGGTTGGAAGACGCGTCTGTTTCCCCCCACCCAAACTGCGTCGGTCAACTTCTTGGGAACCCAAGTGCGAAGGCTTTCTGACAATTACATCACATCCTCGCGCATCCCACGTTCCCGGCAGCCATGGGGAGGAAAGGACGCCCTTGATTTTTGTCTGGTTGCTCTCCCAGGCCCGCAACAAATGCCTTCGCGGATGTCCACCCCCCTCACCCCGGCTCAACCTTTGCCTCAAGATCCGGCGCGGTTGCTTGAAGTCTGCTACCACACTTTCAGCCATCCGACCATACAAGTAGCACCATGCGGATGAAACCTCTATCGGAAATCCTCGGGGTTCTGGGCAAAGTTGTTATGCCGAACCCGCAATCAAAATATAGTCAGCATGGCTGTGGACAACCACCCTTGTGACATCCCAAGTTGCTTCTGGTCTCATCCGTAACACTACGGAACATCACTTTCATTGCGTCACTCCAAAGGAGATGATTTTCGTATCACAGAACGTGACAACCCAAAACGTATCTTCCACAAGGGTCTCCAAATAGTGAGTAGCCCGATCAATGGATGCATGCAGGTCTGATAGAGGACCGAAGCCACCCACGAAAGCAACCACTGATTATTGGAATTCGGACCTGTGATAAGACACATTTTCAATTTTCCCTGCGCCTTTTCGGGATGACTAGCAACAGCCCACCCATTTGTGGGTTCCCGTTTTGAGTCGTTTTCGCCGGCGACTGGCTCCTCGGACTCAAAAGGCGACTCCCAGGGCGGCAGGGGCACATCGTCCTGGAGCGCCTCGGTCACTGCCTGGCGTCGAGGCGGTTCCGTTCCCGCGTGCGGTTGGGACTGCGGTTTCATGGGGCCAGGGCCGTGGGATCCCCACGGAAATCGAAGCAAAGGCGTCGAGTAGGTCTTTTGGAAGGCCGTCCTTCGCCCATAACCCCGTTCGGGCCGTAAAGCAAAGGAGGGAAAGCATCTAGTCAAGCTTTCTTCCATGTGCAGTGGTTTCTCGAAAAAAGAAGTGATGGGTTGGGTCTAGGGAGTGAACAGTGTCAGCACCCACACAGCCGAGAGCTCAAAAGGCACCCTGGTTGGTCTGGATACTCGACACCTGTTGCTGAGCTGCCAGCGCATTCGCCAATCACAAGATGGATACGAGCGTACATGTTTGAAGGTACCGTTTTTGGTCATTCTTAAACGTCCACCATTTTGAGACAAACAAATATGCAAACCTGGAAACCCGTGCTTTGATCTGGGCCAATGGCCCGTTCTGCACTTCTTTGCCAGGCAGGCCCTTTCCCTAATCCAATAGTGCAGCTGAATTGCGATACTATGAAGCCCAAAATTGGAACGTGGAATCAAATGTTTGCGGGCCTTTTGGTGGATCATTTACATCCGTTTTGCGTCAGGTGACTCGACCAGTAAAACTCACAGCGTTCAAGGTCATAAAGCAATAAGTTGGGTCAACGACTTTGACGGCAGGTTGATGTATCCCCGGCTCTAGTAGAACCCACTAAAATTACTAAAAGGTGCACACCAGAGGTGTTACGGCAGGTTGATGCATCCCTTCTAGTAGAACCTATATACTAAAAGGTGCCCTGAAATTCTGACGTGTTGGGCGCTTCCCCCCCCCCCCCCGGCTGCCCCTCCCGCCTGGATCTCCTGCGTCAGGCGGTCCTCCTGGCAGGCGGGGCACACCTCCGGAGAGCCCTCCCGGCAGAGCTTCAGGCGGTAGCTGTGCCCGGCTTCGCACCTGAAGCAAAACGCGCCAAACGCGCCAGCCCCCCAAAAAAATGGCCCGGCTGCCCAACCAAAAAACAACGCATCTTTGGATTCTGGTAACGTGTTGAGCCTGAAGTTTAGGCCTAAAGGTTTTTTCTGAATGAATGGCTTCAAGCCGTTGCGACTTGAGGTGGCCCAAATTGAATGTTGCTTTATTCTAACGCCTGTGGGCTGTCGTTTTGCATGCATCAGTCTGTAAACAAACTGGAAGAGTTTCGCATGGCTGGCTCTCATGAGCCAATCCATTCTCCCCCACCCAATGTGAGTCCGCCATCTTCCCCATGACGATGCTGACCCGGGGAAATTTAAGGGGTTCACCTAGAGATGCCCCTTCGTATGCACAAAACGCTGATAAGAGGGGAGTGCCGAGAGCAACACAGCGGGGGCTGCAAAATATTATCTTCCCGTTATTGAAAGGGGGTTGGGGGTCAGCATGTGTTTGCCAGATGCATCGGTGTGTTCGCAAGCACTAGCAAGCTTCCGCAAGCGTCTACAGGTGGCAAAAGTTGCCGTGCCGTTAAATGACCACCCTGAAACGCAAAACGCCGACGTAAACGCACAACCTTCCAAAACACTGCGCTTGCAGAGCGGAACGAAGTGCGACGTTGAAAAAGCTACGACTGCACTGGCGCAACGAAGATAACATCTTGCAAGCCATACACATCACAGTTTCTGAGAGGCAGACAAACAGCTGGGAACATAGAAAGACAGATAGATAGAACAACACGATGCGTAGACAAGTAGATAGACAGTCAGCAAGATAGGTAGATACATAGACAGAGAGATAGATAGATAGATAGATGGATAGATGGATAGATAGACAGATTGACCAATGCGCAAATGGACGGATAGGTGGATACATGTACACATGCCTAATGGACAGACGGATAGATTGATAGACAGACAGATAAGAAGATAAATAGATGTACAAATACATGCATGGATGAATAGGTAGATGGGTAGATAGACAAGTCAAGGTTGATAGGCAGAGACATACAAAGATAGACCTGCCACTGAACCTTTGGGCCATTGACCTGCATTCGGGTGCGTGGCTTCTTTCAGGTTTCTGATGGCATCCGGAAACAAGGCAAGCAACAATTTGGGTTTGTCTTTTTCGGGGGCACCCCCAAAACATGGTGGTTCTCCTCTTGGGTTTCCCTTCAACACTGCATAAATGGGGCGCCCTCAAACAAAGACACACCCAGTACCCATTTGGGTATGGGTCAAAACCCTGATACCCTTTTCTTGGTAACTTCCCTTTTCTTTGCTCCGTTTAAAAAAGGGAATTGGGGGGTAGGGGTGCCAGGGTTTTGACCCACAGCCATTTGGGAGTTTCGCAAGTTGGATCGATGTGCATGGCCGGGGTTCGCGCCTCCACTCGGTCTCCCGGTCGCAGCACAGCCGCCCAGAAGCGGAGCAATCCACCCGCAGTCGCCGGGACTGGCACTGCGCGGCGTTCCAGCACTCTCGCAGCGCCTCGTCGGGGTTTTCTTGGCGCGAGAGGTAGGGAATGAGAAATGGAATGAACCGTTTTGGGATTCCCTGAAAGGCTGGCGGTTCCCTTAAGGAAACGACCAGTTGGCTGGTCCATGGGGTTCATTCCCTCATTCCCTGCTGAGCACCAGCAAGTTTTGAAGAAACCTTTTTCGTGTTGGCTTAAAGGGAAACCAAAAGAGACAACAACCATAGGGCCAAATCCCGAGTCTGACACAGCATCTCAGGGGGTTCGGACACTGCTGTATATGAAAGCCCACGAGATTGCAAACGGCTCGATCCCAGAGCCAGAATATTAAAGGGATTCTTGCCGATTGGGACTGTTCCCAACCTTCATCTTGATCAGGTTTCGATTGCGCCAAAGCGCATACCAAGTAACATGGCTGTGAGCCTGGTTCCCCCAAAGGTGCTATGACCATCCCACAAATGCTTCCTGATCCTTACCAACACAAACCTCTATTGAGGGCTGAGAGCTTGCTCTCACTTTCGCACCGAGCCTATGTCCACTCGCGGGAGTTGGCTGGCGATCTTTGCGGACGAACCGTTTGCCTTGCTTTCGGGAAAAAGGAGAGTCACTGCCATCTCCACTAGTCGCATATCTAGGGAGAGCCCTGCTTCAACCCAGTGATGCAGGGACATGGCAATGACAAGACAGTAAATAGGAATTCCATGCCTGGGAGTCAAGTGTGGGGTGTTAAACAATCAAATATTGCTCATCCCTTTTTGGGCAGTCTAGGGGAAATTAACCCTATAGGCTGTTTAGAACACAGATGTGGTTGGTCCTTACCATACTTCACAGAGTCGCTGCCTGCGTTTCCCGGCAAGGAAGCAATCGCAGCTGGCATCTCTCCTCCGCCCTTTGCCCTTGTCTACGCGGCCTGCCTCTTCACAACAGAAGGGGCAGAGTCGAAACCCTGCCTCAAGGGTCGTTGACAACGTGGCCGCACATAACTTGGGTGCGTGTTTTTCAAGGGTATTTTTTTAGGGTTAGTTTAGAGGGAAATCACAGGGAAAATCCCGAATTTGACACCTACCCACTTGCGTCCTGCCCCTGGCCTTCTCCTTGCAGGTGATGCTCGTCTTGCCCTCCGCGTACTCCTGGTGCTTCTGGCAGGGAGCCGTCGCCAGGTGTCCGCATCGCAGGGGCCGCTCTACGGACTCGTTGCACCGGCCCTTGACCCCCTCCTGACGGCGAGTCGCCTTGTTCCAGCTTGGATTCCGGAGGTCCGGAGGACCATACAAATCACGGGGCTACCCTCTTTCAGTCGGGAATTCATTCATATTACAGTGCTCCGGATGCAGAATCTGCAGTTGACATTCATTGCTTGCGGCTGTAGCTCCCCAAAACAAAGCAACGAAATGGCTCACGTACGACAATAAACGATGCCCGGCCAATGGAAACGGCTCCATTGACCAGAGGAAAAACATCCACCTGGCTGCTTTTGAGGCAAACCACGACTGGGTCCTGAAGGATCTTCCCGAGCTGCGTGCAGGCGAACTGCGCCACGTGCCCGCAGGGCCGCACCACCTAGACGCGGATTTGTTTTTGGGGGGAAATGCCCGGAGTTGAAAAACCGCCGCGTCGCAAAATTGTGAATGCTGATTGATACCAGCTAGTGCCTGGCGTGAAGAGTGCCTCGGTTTTTGCCCAAGAACCGCCCCTGGTCTTCCAAAAAGCCCAGACAGGTTCCATGTTGGTCAACGGACAATCCTGTGCACCTGAGGCCGTTTGAGGTTCCATGCTAGTCTGCAGAAGAGAACCGCAGCATTTGCCCCAACAACATGTATGTGTGTGTGTGTATATATATGTTTATGCATCAAAAACTTCATTGCGGAAGATAGTCGTGAACTTTTGATTCGACAGTTCTCGCAACTAACCCACTCAGACTTCGATTACTCTGCATTGCTTCAAGCGGGAGAGTAAAATGCAAAGCAAACGAGCGGCTGGGCCAGGCAATTCCGCTGTTTCTTTCGATGGATTCCCTCCAAACTGGCCTTCTTCAGGGCCCAACACTCTTGGAGATTTTGGACACACCTTCATGGTTTTTTAGTATGGCTTTCTACGCACAGCTGTCTCCCCTAAGACAGTGCAAGACAGCGCGAGGGCACCTGAAAGGATGACGTTCGAGCCCCCTCGCTTCACCAAGCATTCGAGGTCGCTTGTGCAAGGTGCCATGAAACCCAAAGGGGCGCTTTGAGAGATGGTCTTCCAGGGGTTCACGTCGGTTCCATGTTGGCGAGTAGATCAAAATTGCATTTGGCCGACCGCTGATCATGTTGGCAAAGCGTCAGCACTTCCTGCCCCGAGTCAGCAAAACAGCTGTCCACTGTTCAGCGGATTTTTTGCCCACCAATGGGAAGGTGTGCTCGTGCTGTCTTTTTGAAAGCCCGCGTCCGATTTCAGGGATAAGCACTTGACACAGACTGTGCACATGTTGCTGCTTACGTATAGTTTGAATTCTCGCAGGTCCCGCCCATCAATGACCATTCGACTCCCGGCATTCGGGACCATAAATGCTATGCGGGTGGCCCAAGATGGGATCCAGCAAATGAGTTTCACTCCGCATGCGGAAAAACCGATTCATGGTTCTTCTTTGCTGCAAACCATCGGAACCCATGTGGCTGTGGGTCAAAATCCCGTACCCCCGGTGAACATCCCAATCCAACCACTAAAATAGGTTCTAAAATGGGCGATCCACCTACCAACCAAAATGGCATCCAAAACTGTTTTGACAGCCACAGCCATTGGTTTCGAACTCCTCAAAGCCGCCCCCCGGCAGCCCCGCAGCCCCGCAGCCTGCACCGAGCTCTTGCAGGTCTTGGCCAAGTGCAGGAGCTGCTCCCGCGGGGGCTGCTCCTGGGGCCTCTCAGGTCCATAGGTGGCCTTGGAAAAATGGATGGCCCCAAATGGAATAAACCACCCCATCTAAACCAGCGGCCCCCTACTTTTTAAAGCAACCAAGAAGCACACCTATGCTCAGGTCTCTTGGATCTATTTTAGTTTTTCGGAGATCTGAGGCACCGGGGATCCCAAAATGGACTTGGGCTTGGGCTTTGGATAACTTGGATGCCTGCTGCTTTGTCCCCAGAGAGCGGCCATCTTCGCGAAACAACCATTGTGCTTTCGCGCGACGCCGTCGGCGTGCTGGCCGGAAAGTTGTGACTTGTCATGAAGTGCGCTTCCGCAGCTCCAGCTGGAAAGTCACAACTCTTCGGCACGAAAGTACTATGCGATGCGCACGTCTGTTGTTCAGAACTGAAGGCGTGCAAAGATATACGTATCAGTTGCGAACGCCCCTTGCCACAAGGGTGACTTTCGTGACCCCATCGCAGATCTTACGCGGAGATACTGAGCCAGCCAAGGGTCGCCGAATGCAAACTCCTCAAGAAGGGGGTTTGACCATCTCAAGCTGGGGCACCACCAGACCTGCAGGTTCTGGAAAGGCACCAAACAAAAACGCACAGCCGAGCCTTTGCTTTCAAGCAACGGTGTTTGTTTCGCGAATCACAGGACTGGCTTACGCCATCATACCTGAGGAAATCCGAAAAGAAGACAACAAACCTGAAGATCGCCCGGCCACAAGCGTATCAACGCCTTCTGGCTTCCCTCTCCCTCCTTCCCACCGTCCTTCATTCCTTTCAATCGTGCCAACAAATCCATTACTCGAACCCTGTCGCCTACCCAATTCTGCGCTTGGCCAAGCGACCTAAGAAGGCTTCAATGGGCGTCTGGGTTCGTTGATTTTACTCCTGGATCCCTTGCAAAACCAACCACGAATCTCAAACGTCTCCGGCCTCGCGCTCCCCTGGAGCTTACCCTCCCTCAGGCTCTCCGCCACCTGGAAAGCTCTGGGCAAACTGCTACAAGTCCCAAACTGGACCGTCATCGTGAATCACCTCATTCTACACCCAAATCAGCAGCAGCAGCGGCACCAGCAGCGGCGGCAGCAGCAGAAGCAGTACCAGCACCAGCCGCAGCAGCAGGAGCAGCAGCGGCATTGGAACGGAACCGGGGAACGATGTCGGAGGTCATTCCAGCTGGTACCCTCACCGAAAAGCAAAGAAACAAAACCTCATCAATGTCGCTTCTGATTTTGACAACCCTCTAGGCTACGAAAACTTGCCCATTTCTTGAAAAAACCCACATCTTGGGGTTCAGACAAATGCATTGGGCAATGTTGTCCATCGGTGTCGACGTCCGAAACCATCCACGAACCACGAGTCTATCCCTGGATAAGCCTGGAACAAGCCAGAATCGTCAAAGGCCTGAAGGGTCTTTTTCTTTGGCGAGTTCAACCTATGAACAAACCCAACGCCACACCGGGCGCCGCCCGCTTCGCCCGCTTCGGCCGCTTCGGCCGCTTCGGCTTCTGCTGCTTCCCGAGCTTCGAGCCCGGCGCTCCGAGATATCGAGGCCCCGCCTCCCGGGGCCATGGCTTCCAGTCCTTCATGGCCGACGCCTCGTAGCAGGGCACCTCGATGCTGTGGCCACACAACGGGCTTTCCACCTGGCACTTCTCCTCGCGCTCGCTTGCAACCGGCGTGCGCGCGGGAGGAAGCCATGAGGCTTTGTTGGGGCAGGCTACGGGCTCTGAGTTGGTCTGGTGGAAATGGTATGATTTAAATGACCTAGGCAGCCCTGCCTAACCTTCCCTTGTAGAGAAACAGAGGGAATCCGTGTGAATGACCGAACTGGTTTACCAAATGCCGTCTAAGTCTATGTTCATCCGACCTAGACGCATTACCAGGACCTTGGAGCGTTCGCTCAACATACAGCTGGTTCAAAACCCGCGGATCTAGACAAGTTTTGATGCCTATGTATCCACTCAACGCAGACAACGATATGTCAAGGTTTCAAAGTTTCGAAGAAATCAGAAGGCCAGCACATGCAGCGCCAATTGCCCACATGGCAGTGCTTCCGCGCTCTCTGATTCTGTTGGATCAGACTTGGCTTAGCACCCTGTGTGATCAAGGGCATCAGCAAGGTTTATTGGTGAATGGCCCATACCATCCCCTTGTGTCTTGTTGGTCATCTTCCGTGGCATCTTTGCCTTCATGCTTCACTTCATCAAGCGAAAAACTCAAGTCTCTAAGCGCAGCAGTCCAAACGATCCAGGTGTTGCAAGGCGACACAAATGTGTGGAGGCTGGTTCCACCATGGGTTGAATGTTAATTCATCCAAGCCTGCAGAGATCAATTTGGCGCCTTTTCAAATTGTAGCGTCATCTTCCAGAAAGCTGCCTTTCACCTCCACGCTGATGTGTTTAGTTGCTTCGGATTCAGGCATGACATCACAGCCTTAACAGTTGAGAAGCAAGCATTGGTCACATGTGAAATTTCTAGCGGATGACGACTACACCTACAACATCACCAAGTAACAGCCATTGAGACTGGGACTCGAATCAGGCCGACAGAACGACTTGCTTTCTCTATCAGGGATGGTGGAACAAACCTCAAGCGGCAATGAGTCGTGCATCCCAGATTCCTCAGAAATATAGAACAGGCAAGCATAGATGACAGGCCCCTTTGGAAGGAACGTCTGCCAGGTACTGAACACTCGCAAGTCTCAGCAAGTCACTAGGGTCTGGGGAGCTCACATCGGCGAGAAACGTGGTCAAAGGATTGGGCACTGCAATGAGAGAATTCTGAAGCTTTGAGCTCGCTCGGAAGCCAGAAGGTTGATTGCTTTCATCCACTCCCTGCAAATTCACATGGAATCCACAGCGCCCCACAAGAGAAGCTGCTTCTAAAACCAACTATGATTCTACATTAGTTCTGCAGGTACACAGATTTAGAATACGGATGCCCAACCAAACAATGGCTGAATGGTGTTTGTGTTGCGTTTCTTTATGGTTTCCGGGGGCCGAGGTTGCATGTTGCCATCTCACAATCACACAAAGTTCCATTTTATTCATGGCTCCAACACCCACCCACCCACCCACCCACCCACCCACCCACCCACCCACCCACCCACCCACCCACCCACCCACCCACCCACCCACCCACCCACCCACCTACCCACCCACCCACCCACCCACCCACCCACCCACCCCGCCCCTCAAATCCCACCAAGCGCCGTCCTCGCAGGGGCCCAAGGTGCCGCGCCGGCCGCAGGCCACTTTGGTCTGGTGACCACAGCGGCGCTGGATGGTGACCTCGATACATGGATCGTCTGGCTTCCCTTCAGCCTCTCTCTCAGAAGGGGCCCCCAGTTTTCGGGAAAAAACCCACGAAACCAAAACCTCAAACCAACCCAATGGTTGAGTACCCCCCGACCAACATGGGTTTTGCACAGACCTCTGTGGAAAGACGACTTTCTCGTGGAAAGGGGATTTGTGCACTTCCATGTTAGTTGGTGGGAGGGTATCGACTCAGAGGGTTCATACCGGGGTTCAAGGGTTCATGTGTGCCATGCTCAAATCTCCGTGCAGTGTTTCCGCGGCTCACCTGTGTTCGGAGAAGAAAGAAGACAAATTCCTCTCATAGAGTTTCCGGCTCAAAGATTATGTTGGAGGGTCTTGGACCGGTTTTCCTGGGCAAATATGTTGAAAGACCGGGCCCTGGCCCCTGTTGAAGCCTTTTGAACATGCACCCCGCTGTGGATGGAAACAAATCCAGTTGGGACAGACGAAGCCCTCTGAATGCTGGGACAAGCCACCTACCAACTTGTTGCACTTGTCCACCAACCAGTCTACTGAATACATATATCATCTTACAGACCCCAAACCTGCGAATACTAAATTAGCAATTAGGCAACACGAATCCAACTCTAAACCAACAACTTTCCCGCCAGCCCCAACAGCAGCCAGAAAAGAAAGCTCTCCAAAGCAACATTGAATTCACATGTTTGTAAATATGTTAAGTTGCACTTTCAATCACGCCTTCAAGCTGACACATCCACCCACTGCCTTGCACGATTCTATTTGAAACCCCTTGCTCGGCAAACTACGTTTGCGGGTGTTTGATCCTTGCAAAGAGAGGACCGCATCTGACAAGAACCGAAGCAGAAACCCGCTAGGACATATCTGGGGGGGGGGGACCTGTTGCTTGGGAGGGGCGATTGTCGAAATGCTTGCTGATGCTTGCCCCCCTGAAACCAACCAAAGGTGGGTTCCCCAAAAAATACCACCCAGGGGACACCATGGGGGCAGCGCTGCAGATGCGACCGGGCAACCTTTTTGTTGGGCAGTTGGCGGGAGCATGGAAGCTCAGGCGGGATTGCTTTGGAAAACGTGGTTTGCGCGAAGTCCAAGTTGTCTAGTCGCAGAAGCCAGCGACTGCTTTTGCGTGGCGAAAGAAGGCAGCCGGGCGGGGGGCAACATCCACGGCTATCCTCCCTCATGCCATCCATTCATCTTAAGCCCAGCCTATCAGGAAAAACTGGCTTGAGTCGAGGGATCGCTAGGGCCGCTAGGAAAACAAAAACGCGCCAGATACTCAACACCTTTTGCTGCCGTTGATATTGAACGAGCCACTCAACACAAACAAAAGTAAAGAATTCCCCCCCCCCCCAAACAAAAAAAAAAAAACGGGCAACCAGGAATTGTTCATCAGTTGCTCACAAATGTCTAAGTCCCTCTTGTTTGCGTGGGCAATTCAGCTCTTGCCCCTCGTGTCCCAAACTGACCAGAAGCTGGATGTGTTGATCGAACCTCGTTTGAGTCACAATCAAACATGGCACTGAAGTCTACCCGAAACCTGTGGTGAAGAATCAACAGTTCGAATATCCACGCCTTCTGGTGAGGACTGTCCTTTACCCTTCATCTTCCCAGGTTTGCATTGTGGCTCATTGGAGCTTTCTCGAAAAGGTGGACCCTTTCTTGGACTCTTCGGACGGTTTTGAAAAGGAAAGAAAAGGAAACTGTTGCCATTTGTGGGCTTCAACCGTTGGCGTGTCTTGGCAGAACCCAAAAATCAAACAACAGTGCCCTCAAAAAAAACAGCAACCAAAACTTGTTGGATTCAGAACCAAGGAAACGCAGCCGCCCGCTCCGCACTTCTCTCAGGGCGCTTGGCTCTGGCAGACCACCCCCGGCAGCACCGAGGGAGCCGGCGCCGACTCCTCCGCAAAGTCCAGGGGGCCATTCGGCCGCGGCAGATGTGCCTCGAGCGCGGGTCGCACGGCTGCACGGTCGCAGACGCGTCTCAGGGTTTTCATGGCTGGTGTGGTTGACTGGGCGCCTGTGGAAACCAGGTCCCCTGCGCCCCCTGGTTACCCTATCTCTTTTGACCTGCAGGCCCTTGTTGAGGTCCAAACCCTTGCAGATCCAGACCCCTCGGGGTCCAATGGGTAATGCCAACTTCGGATTGATCCGCGGGACCATGTTTAGAGGAATCCACCTAAATACATCGATTCCCCGCTGGCTTCCTCAAATTTTCGGGCATTGCTCGGACCCTTCGGCCCTCGCTTGTTTGGCGCATCGCACTGATGGGATGCCCCTCATATGTTATCCATGTGCCAAACATGGTGAACACGATTCCGTTTACAGTCACTTCATGATCTGCGAACAGCAGAGGAATCAACTTGACAGGGCGGGGAGTGGAGTGGGCAATATGAAGGTGACAAAAATCGGCCCCAGCCAAAGGGATGAACCAAAGCTCGATCAACCAACTCCACGGCCACAAGCGGGCGACTGCAAAAAAAACAGCCGGAAGCACTACATCCGTGCTATGCCCTTGCTCCTGGTTGTGGAACGATCCCTGGTACAGCCGAGAACCAGCAACCAAAAAAAATGGCATGTTACTGGCTGAATTGCCATGGTCATGCTCGTGTCGCCATCATTCAAAGTGATATGGAACGCGCTGACAAGAAAGGGCTCCTCTTCATAAAAGAGAAGAAAACAAATTGGAGTCTGGACCCTTCACGTGAACAGCACGGAATAAGCCGAGGGGCATATTCTTGCTGCTTGTGACAGGGAACGCGGCACTCGTGCCCACAATGTGGATGCACCATCTGTACCTGCCATTTGAGGCGATGTGCAAAGCTTGCATCTGACATTTTACCGGCACCCGGATCCAGCTGACTTTAGATACGTCACTGTGGAATGCTCCTTCCTTTTCCTCTCATATCGAGCCACGGGCTAAACGCGAAAAAACGGGACATAGGGTGTGTCTGAAAAATACGGAAACCCCACAATGCTATCGGTACCCCCCGAACATCCCCAGCTCCGAAGCTCCAAAGGGACTCGCCTGCACCTCGCAGTGCGACTTGATCTTCGCCAGGTCGAAGGCTCGCTCGCACCTCACCGACTCCTCGTGGCCGCACTTTCCTTGGACACAGACATGACTTGCTGGTGCGAGAGGTAGGGAATGAGGGAATGAACCCATTGATTCCCTCAAAGGAAACCACAAGGGATGGTTCATAAGGGTCATTCCCTCATTCCCTACTGAGCACCAGCAAGATGAACCCAACATCCCGTCACCTTTCCCCGGATCGCACGAGTTGACCTACGCATGGCCCGGGAAAACAAAATCCGTGCAGTCATTTGTGAGACGGTTCCTTGAACTCTTGGAGTCTCATGTGTGCTGCAAAAACACCCGCGCGAACCAGGCCCAGACCCTCATGGACTCGCTTAAGGACACCCGAGGCCCTCAAATAGCTTCTTTTTCCCGCGCCTTGGGTGGATCAAGTACTTTGCGACAATGAGAGGCAGCCAAGATGCGCATGAAGGTCACCGTCTCTTTGCAAACGCGGTCCTTGAGCGAGTGATCCTACCCCCTATTAGAAAAAACGGGGCGAGGGCCTCCCTCCGTACATGATTTCCCTTGTACCCGCAAAGGGATGTGTGGGGACGGCCTTTGTTGAGGGGCGTGCCTCATTCCGCGCACTACTTCGCGGGAGAGAGCGTGGCCTCAAATAAGAATATCACCAAATCCCCCCGAACGAGTCCATCGCAACTGCAACTCTATCTTCACTCGGTACCCCAATGTTATTGGCAAATGTTCACTTGGAAACCAGAACAGATGGGAACACCTTTAGAGTCAGCAACAGAATCATGTGAAGACAAACAACTCATGCTTCACAGCGGGCTGGCTTGGGATCTGTGAGAACCAACAATGTTAGCCATGGGCAAGGGGCGTGGAATCCCGCCTTCCGAGTGGGACAGAACGAAACAGAAGTGACCGGGAGACGGGGAAAGGTCGGCCACTTCGCCATCCCACACCAAGGGCAACAATGTTGGACCTCGCCCCCCTCCAACAGCGCAGGGTCCGAACTATGCCTCATGCGCGGCCCTATTTTTGCAAGACTAACATGAACGCCTGCGGGACTTCCGATGTCCTTTGTCGATCAGCAAAACTACAATGCATGAGTAATACATGAGAGATCAGTTTCCGGAGTTGAACTTCGTTGGTGGCTCACACGCTTCCCCCAGAGAATCCTGCACTCCACCCAGCTCTGCCATGTTTCTAAGACCAGGTCAGACCTTCTTGCATCAAATCCTGGCCTGGTTCAGTCTTGTTGGCTCTGGCTCATCGCTTGAGCCAGCAGTGAAGGGATGATTCTCCGCCGAAAATATCACATTACACGGTCAACTGTGCCTGAAACGACAAGCATAACAAGCATTCCGATGTCCAGATTACTTCATGGGGGCCCGACAGCAACATTTCACGCTCCGCTTACCGAAGCAACCAACAACTCCGCACAAAATCTGTGCGAACATACGGTCCAAGGTCCTCCATGCAAGCCGGATGTTGATTTGTTGAAGACCGAGGCCACCAAAAAAACACGTTGAACTCCAACAACTCCATCCCAGGTCCCAACAACTACATCCCAACAACTCCAGATTGGCATTGCCAACAGCTCCATCCCAGGTCCCAAGACCGAGAGTCCGTCGGGCCGTACGCCTCCCCCTCATAGACCTTGCCCTGCTCCTTGCAGCGACCTGCTGCGGAGGGGGCAGGGGGGGGGGGGGGTTGGGCAAAGGATCTAAACATGAAGCTCAGGTCTTTTCAGGCACGGAAGCCAAGCAAGCAGACCCAAACGGGAAAGATAAGGATCCCGAAACTACCAACCCCCAACCGAAACCGCAACCGAAACCGCAACCGAAACCGCAACCGCCGAGCCACCCAAAAACAGGGCCCCGTTTTTTTGTTGCCGACTTTTCACCATTGTTTGGCTTCTTGGGCCCAACCAAAGGCTACAAAAATGGCCTCCAAGAAACAACAAAAAAGAAAAGCCCCGCCGCGAGCGGATCCCGCAGCTTCACAGCTGACCTCCGTCCCACTTGCGCAGCTCCAGCTCTTCGGCGCAGGAGACCTCCCCGAAACCCCGAGAAAACCCGACGGACGTGTCGTTTGGTCGTTTTGGTCGCAGCGTTTTGAGCATTGCGAGGCGGGTGGGGCTCAAAATTAAACGATCGGAGGGGCAAACCGCAGGTTTGGGTCCATGTTTCCACTTACCAGGGTTGATTTTGGTACCGGGTTTTTTGAGCCACAGCCAGGTTCTTGTTCAAGGGGATTCATGAACAGGTGTCCCCGGAGTTGACGATACATGACACAGGAACTTTGCTTTAGCCCATTTTCTGTTGTGGGGCTCGCTTGGGGAAAACAACAAGGAGAGAGGGTATTGTTTCTTTTCGCCAAGCAAGTAAGTCATGGGAATCCAGTTGATTCGTAAACTTTTGGAAGAAACAACCCTAGGTAAATCTTGCAATGCTCAGTTCCTCGCTGTCAATAGCAGATTCCCGAAATGATGCAAGGATCAGGTCCACAGGACTTAGGTCAAGACCTCCTCTAGCGTTTCCCGTTGGAACCCGCTTGACTCTCGAGAAAGGCTCTGAAACGGGGAGAATTTATTTTATGTGTTTTTATGTGTTTTTTTCCTTTTCTTCCACGTGTCTTCGACGGAACTTCCCGTAGCCCTGCCACTCGGCGGGTTTCCACGGGCTGGCGGGAGAGATCTCACGCGTGTGCCTCCCCGGAGGCTTTGGTACAGCAACCTCCCGGCAACAGGATCCGCTTGCTGGGGGATCAACCTTGGGATTCTGGTAAATTCAAAGCCCGGACATCTGACGCATTCTTGCGAACCTTTGTCCATACAATATAGAGAGAGAGAGAGAGAAAAAAAAAGACATGGTCTCCGGTCCACCTCTTGTAACTGACCAGCATATAGCTCAGCACCCCTCCACCCCTTAGGGGCCTTCATACATACACACATATGTACGTACAATGTAGGTATGGGGCAAAACGAAACCACCAGGGAACGAGGGGACCGCAGGTGTTCGTCGCTGTGTCCATTTGCCAGAGCAACCCATTTTGGTCCCGACTATCACCGCGTCTGCGCGCGGAGACCTACACCTTCCGGTCCTTGGCTTTGTGGTGGCACCGCGGCAGAGCCACCTCCAACTTCTTGGGGCAAATGAACTGCTCCCGCGCGCGCTCGTAGGACTGCCTGGCACAACACTTGGACAAAGTGGCTTGCAATTGGGACCTAGGCAGCCTGCCACAGCCTGACGGTTCACATTGCCGAGATCTGCATGTCAGCTATGGCTCTGGGTTCATTGCCTGACAACTGGTCAGTGTTTGTGCTGCCTGACTAGAAAACTTCACGTTGTGGAGGCACCAGGTACTCAAGTCACACAAGCAGTGAGCAACTCCCGGTGCCTGCTCAAAACCGGATCTTACTGGGCAGTTGTAAGAGCAAACCGGCCTGTACCGCAAACAGAAGCAAAATGCAAACCAATCAAGTTGGAAACCCATCCCATACCATGTCCGATAGGAAGAATTGCTGAACAAGCGGCAACTAAAACCACTGAGAGCAAATTGTCCCTGCACCGGAGAATCGTCACTGCATCCTTGACATGTGTTGAAGGATTTTCCATAGAACGTCTGCCAAAACCCGAGGCCACGCTGCGGGTGCCACGGCCCTTTCCTGCCCGCCTTTTGCACACGTCATTGTCCATCTACCCCTGGTTTACGCAACATCGAACCCTGGGATGATGCACAACAGCATTCTGCACCCTTAAACCAAAAGAAGGTTCTGGACCTTCCAAGCGCCGTTTGAGGGTGTCTCACAGTGTCGGGCCCATGAGGTTGATGGGCCCACCTCAGCCAGCACTTCACAGAGATGGTGTGGCCACAAGAGGGCAAATACTCCACGGTGTACTCGCACCGCGGCACCTGCGGGAAGTGCTGAAATGGGGCCCCAAGCACGTGAAAACTGGGGTCCAGGTAGGTTGCGACATCTGCGATCTTCTGCTGTCATGACGGGCTTTTTCAAAGTCTTGCTGTCCGCTTCAGCAGGTCACACTATAGAGACAAACCCATGTAGTGCTGGACACAAGAGCTCCGACTCACAGACCTTCAGCCGAAACTCTGATATAAGGAGAGTCAATAGAATCGGCAGAAAACGTGGAGGAATGCACTTGGCTTGGGAGCGATGCAGGCCACCAAACCTACTTCAGCTCTTGCCCCCAATAACTAATACATGTCTAGTGGTTGGTCCAGCTTAGCAAACCAAAAACTCTAGAATCAAGTCAAAAAAGATCCCGGAAGCAGTATGCTAGTCGGATGAGGTAACTACTATGTTTATAAACAAGCAAACCACCTCATCCCCAAACTCGAAAAGACATGTCCCCCTCGTTGGAAATACATGATTTCCCTTCTGTCAGGCGGTCATGAAACAGTGAGTTGCGTAGAAAAGGGCCGGGGGCCTTTCTGGCCGCACACCTTCTCCTGCAACCCTCACAGATCTCTCCTTGGCATGGTTCCGGGAGGTGCAACCATACAGTGGGGGGGGGGGGGAATCATACGGTTTCGCTTCAAACAAATACTTTGAGGTCAACCCTGGCATCTCTCAGCGTACTTGATGCCTTGGCAGGATTCCGCTTGTACTCCAAGAGCATGAAGCAGGTCACGTCCAGAGGGTGCTTGCACACGTCATAGATATACCTCACTTCCATAGAAGCGAGACAATTGGGCGAAAGGAACTGATGCGATGGTCCGATATTAGAGAGTGTATGTGTGTGATATTGATATCCAACAGGTGCTTTTACTTGGCGTGTCTTCCCAACGTGTGAGGAAGCAAACATCCAGCTCCAACTTTCGGTTCACGAACCCAAACCAGCGGGTTTTCGGATGGGACAAATTTGCAACATCCGCGTACAACGCAAGCAAAGAAAACACTGCGGAAGCTGTGTGGAATGCTTAGATAGGTAACGAGGCAACATCTGCACGAATCACTTCTTTTCGCCAACCTGAGTTGAGGAACCTTTGAAAAAGGGCCTTTCATCCTGGCAGGAATCGCTGGTTTTACCGGCTGAGCTCGCTGTCACTTTCGCTCCCGAGTTCCCTGGATCGGTTGAAACATCACCGCACATCGAATGCTCTTGAAACCCCTGAACTTGCCTTTGCTCACTTAATCCTTACCAGAGTCTATCAAGAAGCTGGACCCCACGCTTTGAAGGGGCTCAGCTGCAAAGTGGTGCGCGGCTGTCTGCTGTGAGGAAGCCTCGCAGGGTTTCTCCTTGGAACCCTTGTAAACCTCGCGCCAATCAATGGAAACTCGACACAAATCAAGCACGTGCACATAATCCGCAAAAGGCGCGGGGGCATCACATAGACAGCCCCCCCGGGCGAGTTCTATGCTCCACTCTTGCGGTCTTTCTCTCTCCTTTCTCGCTCGTTGTCCCGAGAAGTCTTCCATGCAAACGAGTGGTGCATCTGCGCGACTTCAGGAAAGCCGCGGCGTGTGGGAAGGCTTGTCGCACCTCGGCATGGCCTTGCTGCCGCTTTGGATGTCCTGGGCCCCGGAATTTGGGAACCAAAGAAAGCGCTTGCTTTCGTGTCGCGTGTTTAGGCGTTCCTATGAGCAAATGCAAGCCCCTGTTTGCCAATCTACAAACATTGCAGGCAACAAGTGTGTTGCGGGTCCCTTCTCTTTAGGAGACATTTCTAGCCTAGCTCTTTGGTGGGCCACCGTGAGCCTAAAACCACAGCAAAGCGTTTAACACTTCAGCCCATCGCTCGCTCTCTCTCTCGCTCTCTCCCTCGCTCTGTGCCAAGGCCGCCCTCCCATTCGGGAGATTCGGTGGGTCTCAGCGGAACTCGCCTGAGAGGAATCCCGATCGGATCGCTTGCTCCCGGACAGGCGGAACTGCCCAACATGCGCCACAACTGTCAGAAGTCACGGTTCCCTCAACGGCCATCCCGTCACAATCCGTTTCTAGTAGAGAGGTTAGAATAAGGGTACCCTATTTTTTTCTGTAGTCTATTTCATACAAGGGCACTACTGGGGGACCTAGGTTTTGACCACGGAGATCCTAGGTCTTTCTCCTGGCAACCGGAGTCCTCCTCCTCCGCGCAGCTGAGGGTAGCTTCGTGGCTGCAGGGCAGCAAGAGGGGAACCTTCACCGGGCAGCGGTAGGAGCGCAGCGCCTCCTCGCCATGGAGCCGGCGTTCGTGGCTCACTCAGCTTCCCTCTAAGGTTTGGAGCCCGGTGGTTAGGAGTCCCGGTTTCCAATTTGGGGTCAAAAAAACAGGCTTCAAATCCCCAAACCAATCCACAGCCTGCGATAAAGGGGTGGCGATCGTTTGGCACTTTGGAAACAAGTCACTCCGGACCACCGATTCTAGTACCATCTTTGCAAAGGCCGATTTCCAGTGGCAGAGAAGTGGAAAGGCAGCTCCCACAGTCCTGCACAGTCTCTCGGCCCGTAGCGTTCGCGCCTGCAGCGAAGGAGGCTTAGTAAGCAGGTGAAAACATAATCATAACCTACTCTTGGCTGGAATTTCCGGGATTGCATCTGACAAACTCATGCACACAAGTTGGAGGCCGGGGAGGCTCTGGACATTGGACTTCAGATTTGTTTTGTCCAATACCTGCACTGCGGAAATCCTGGCCCAAACACTCAAAGGACGCCAGGGAAGCCATCACGGATTCTGGAATCCGCCCCAGGCTTACGAGCTGGCACAGTCAAGAGAGGGCAGAAACTCGAATTGGGGGACCCTTTTGACATCACTTGAACGCTGATTGACGTCCAACCGTTTCTAAGCGGTATTCAACCGCCTCCTGGCCATGGGCTGGAGCACCGACTAGAAGCAACTGGACGGTTGGTTCCCGGGAAACACAGAGTTGACTGGCGTGATATCTAAAGGGGAAACGTGCATGTAAGTATCGTCTTGATACGTCTGGGTCCCATCTGTAGTGCCTTCTTGCAGCGGTTTCCCGGCCAGCTTTGCAAGGAAATGTGGAACCCGAAACAACCTGATTTACAGGTGGGGTGATTTTCGAGACCGGGCTAGCTGTTAGAGCTTGGGAAGATGGCATGTTCAATCGGACAAATGACTGAACTGGACCACTGTGCAGTAAGCCTGATATGGACTCAACATTCAGTCTTCAAGTTGGTCCAGGCAACCCTCATGCGACGCGTGTTTGTTGTTTCCGCCCCAAGAAAGACTCAGTTGCAAACCCTTTCAAGGGGAATCCCTGAAATGGATTAAAATGGCGTTACAGTTTAGTGCCCTTTGAGTAGTTGGGTTGCAGCCATCCTTTTCGGCTCAGAAAAGCCCAACCCGGCTTACTGCCAAAGGCGCTATTTGCAAACACGCTCTTGCAGGTGATGTCCGCATCGTGGCCTCGCATGCAACTCGCTCCGAGCTTCGAAAAGAAATCCGCTCGACGGAAACCACGGGCCAGGTCTCCGCGTGTGCGCCAGCATTCTCCAAGGCGGAATCAACAAATTCCCCTACGACAGCGAGGTGGGATACAAGCCAATTTTTTTTGTGAGGTTTCAATTAGTTCCCTGAATTCATGACTTTTCCAGCTGCGCAGCATTCGCCCCCCCCCCCCCCCATCTGCAGAAGCCACCAGCGCTTCTCTTTGGGAAGATGGCCAAAGAATTAGATGATTGCCAAGTCCGGGCCCCTCCTCTCCTGCAGAATGGACCGGAATGAACTCCTAACGTTCGGGCCCAGAGCAAACACCCTGCACCAAGCAAAATCAGGGCACGGGCTTTTTGAATTGCGACGCCAAGTGCGTGCAAAGTCTCTGCAAAAAGTCAGGCGGCCTTCCCCTTCGAGCTTGTCTTCCCGAATCGGTTCTCCGGCCCCCTCTCTCTGGCCACAATTTCCTCACGCACGGTGCAGCCCGAAGAGCGGGAGCAGGGCGATGGCACCATGGCCTGGGCAGACTGACGGGACAGACTGCTGGCTTCGAGCCACCAAAACTGTTTGCCGGAAACAACTCCATTTGGATGGAGTGCGCCTGGCTACGAGGCGAGCTCACGGTACCTGGTTTTTTCACTTGAAATACCGCGGGGATCAGCATTCATCAAAGAGCCGAGTCGGGATGCCAGCAAAGCTATCGAAGGGTTTTGGCTTGGACCTGAGGGCCTCTAGGAAGCTCGAGGTTCCAAACGCTCGCAATAATGAGGCCGCTGCGAGAAACGCCCCAAACAGGCGTTAACAGGCCCAAACGAGCCGCCTCAGAGCCGAACCAAGCCGATCCCAAGCCCCAGCAAAGCCCCCAACAAGTCCCTGCCTTCAATATCTCGTATCCAGCTCCCTCTCACCCCGAGCCACAGAACCCGACCCAATCTTTCTTTGTTTACCCAGCGGGTTGCTCCCATTCACAATCACGACCTCCTCTCAAAAGGCCCCCCCCGACTTGCTCTCCCTCATGCAAACGCGAACCGCATGGGCCTCCTGTACAAGAAGCCCAGGCTTGTTCTTACTGATCCCCCCCAAATTCCAGCCTGCAGCGAGTCCCCTCCCAACCCATCCGCGCCTGGCAGGCGTCGTTGTGCTTCTGCTTTGGCCAGTGGCACTCCAAGTGGCAGCCGTGGCCGCAGCTCAGCGGCTCCTCGCACTTCGCCTCGGCGAAGCCGTCAGAGCCGTCCAGCTGGACACGTCCGGACCATTCGGCAATGGGGTCGGTCGCAAAAACCCGGAAAAACCTCCAAAACCATATTTGCTTCACTCTTTCCAGACTTCGCACAAAAATTGGCTTCCCTTTGTCCCAAGCCGAGCCCAAACCGACCCCACCAAGAGTTCCCCTCAAAAAGGGAGAGGCCCAAAACTCGAGCTCCGGAGCCCCCCTCGAAGCCGCCTTGCAGAAGCCCAGCTTCAGCTGCGAAGCCTTCGCCTTCGGATCGAACCGCACGAACTCGGCGGGGATCTACCGTCGGAAGTTGGCGGGGAATAAGAAGGTCCAGGAACCACGTTTCAGGGGGCTCCAAGTTGTTGAAATTGAGGGTCGCATAGCAAAGGACTTTTCAGTGGTTCCAACCAAGTTCTTGAGATTCAGGGTCGCATGGCGAGATTGGCAAGGCAGTGGGCTTTTTTTCAGAGGTACAGGTGTCTTGGACCAACTGGGGGCCTACCACCCCGGAAAATCACACACATGGTGAAATGCTGTCGGGGGCTTGAGCATCCGTTTCTACAAAGTGAAGTCCTCGAAATCAGCTAGATGGTGGCCGTTTACTCCCCCCCCCCCCCCGTTTTCAGAATGCGCATAGGTATGTCTTAGCGAATC